GCAAGAAGCTGCGTGAGCAGAAGCATCAGCACGCCGCCCAGCAGCGAGAGGCAAAGGAGCGGGAGCGAGCCGAACGCATTGCCAAGCAGACCGCGGAACGCGCCAAGAAACAGGAGGAACGAAAGAAGCTGGAGGAGCGTAAGCGGCTGGAGGTTGAGGAGCTGAATCGTAAGATGCGCCAGCAGGAGGAGGCCGAGGCCCTCAGGAAAGCCAAGATCCGGGAGCTGGAGAATCAGAAGCTGGCACAGTTGACCGGGGCCAAGAAGAAGATGCTGCCACCGCAGCCGAAGACAAAATACACATGGAACATGCTGCACGAGGATGACTCCACCGATGACGAGGGCAAGGTCACCCACAAGCGTCCGCCAGCACCCACCTGGAGTCGCAGTAAGTTAGCGTTTTCTTTAGCCAGTGTCTAATCTAATCTGAAATTTTGTAACCCATTTTTAGGCCATGTACGCGGCGAAGCGATTGCCATGCAGAGCCACTGTCCCACCGATGTCATCGACAGCTTCTTCTCGGTGGCCCCCACCACTCCGGACCTGAAACTGATTTTCCCCAACATCGATCCCAGCCAGCTGAAGCGCAACTCCAGCGTGCTCTGGTCCACGCCCCCCCGTTACTCGGAGCTCCCAAAATACTAGTTATACACAAACATACGTATATAAAATAATCCCCTGTTTTTCTTACTGTTTTCTATGGAAATATAAATGAAGTTTAAATTAAATAAATTTATTTGCGAAACGCAATGCAAGTTACCGCTCGATACCACTCCATTCCACTTGATTCCCTCTGACACTAATACCCAACTGCTTAAGAACTATTAAAGCCGCCGGCGTGCTCAATTAATGGTCTTCTTGGGGTCTTGCCAGGGGGCTTGATGTTTTGATGCCCCGAGGTGTTTCCATTAACAGTGAAGGTGCTGTTGTTGTTTGCTGCTGTCGATTCGTGAAAAGTGGTCTAAAAGAAGGTTTAAGCAAGTGAGTATGAAAATTAACGCAATTGAGTATGGATGTATCGAAATTTTTTACATTTTGGTGGTATTTGTTGCTTGTTAGCCTGTGTCTGGGCATTTGTATACTTTATTTCGTTAATTTCAAAGATAGAAGATGCTTTTTTAAAGATTAATTAATAAAGACCTTTTCTCAAATTGATATGTTTTACTCCTATTCATGCATTTTATTAGTTTCCTGTATATACCATATCCTGATCCCGATACCAATTCTTGGTCTCTGTGCTAAAACAATAAACTGCAAAATTTTGATGTGATAGCCTTAAACATACATATACTGACTAGATTCTGCATTCATTGGCGACTTAGATGACAAATATTTCTTCAATTCTATAATATCCCTTTCCTCAGGGTATGTAGAATGTTGCCAATTCCGTTCCATGTTATGTAATGGTAATGATTGGAACTGCAAGGTTCTGCGAAAATTAGCCCTACCATCCCGGCTGAGCCACTTTAATAGCCGAAAGCTGAAGACATTCGGACAGCCGCTAAAAGTGAAGTACAAATACAAAATAGCCGCAATTATTGGGGAATATCAACAAGACACATCCGGACATGCTTGTCGCAGCCGTTTTCTGTCCATCAAAATACTTGGCAGGGTACTTGCCATGTTTGGTCAGTTTAACGTACCCGGACTTGTACTAAATTTTGTATTGATAAGTTACTTTTAATATGTATTTGATATAGACCAAATGTTAGTCTGGTACCCTTTTCCACAGCTTCAAATATGTCGTACATTAATGGAAACGGTTTTGGTAACTGAATCGGGTTGGAAACGGAAACGGCCAATAATATTGTAATGTGTGCCGTTCCCTTCGTGCCCCAGTTTTTGGAGAGGCGACGTCGGTGCTACCGTGAGTGCCTGCTGGTCTTGCAGTTGCAATTGCTGGGGCGTCTGCTGTTGGTTGCTGCTTTTGCTTCCTCCAGAGCGTCCTCCCAGGATATCGTTGATGGAATGCTTTGTGTTCATCTGCTGCTGCTGGTGGTGGCTCCCATATGGGATGTGTGGTGGCAGACCAGGCCACCAGGGCACTCCATCGACGGGATCGAGGGGATGCTGGCCAGGTAAGGGCTGTCCAGGAGTGAAGGGGCGGAGGCGTCCAGGTGTTGGAGCTGCTGCGGCAGACCGGAAGTCAACAAGTTCAACACCAACTAAAGAAGATTCGGTTTTATATATGGGTTTTTTAATATTATATTGGGAACCTCTTAGACGATTCCATCTTCAAATAGAATATTGAAAAGGTTCGTTTCTATTATTAACTTCAACTTTATGCGAATGAGCCGTTCGTTTTAATCCTCGACGAGCTGCATGTTTGTTAGAAAAGGGAATGCTGCCAATGAGTTCCCTGTGCTGTGGGACAGCATTTGGCGAAGGAGTACACTGAAACTTAGGATGGATTTGGGGCCAATGCTGATCTATGGCAACAACAGAGATTTAAACATAAGCTTGATTCATATGTATTTTGAAGGATGATATGATGCGATGCGAGTGCAGAAAGTCCACGCCGGTTAGGAGCTCACGCGAGAGACGCTACCAGGATCGGGATCCCACACGATAGCTAGATAATGCTCAGGCATATGTACAGATACTGCACGATGGGTGGCAGGAAGTGGGACATGGGGACGCTGTAGGGGAACCGTTTTCCCAGATTCGTAGATCTGGTAGATATGCTTATTCTCAATAATTCTGCGCTTTTAGTTTTCTCGTATCATTTAACTGGATCCTGGATACAAAATTAAGTTTATCTTGCCTTTAAAGTCTCTGGGATCTTGGCGCTCATCGGTTCGCACAGACGGACAGACATACATGGCTATATTCATTCGGCTATTGATGCTGATCAAGAATATAAATACTTTATGGGGTCGGAAAAAATTAAAATTATCCAGCCTTGAAGGAAAGTGATTCATCAATCCGATAAAATTATGAGCTCGGAGCTGAGGGGTATTCTTCATCGGCTTAACTCAGGCTGTTGAGCTGTTTCAATTGAGGGTTTTATTGGTAGATTAAGTGGGTTCAGGTGACGAGTCGTCTCTGAGTAAATTCTTAAAGTACGCTTGTAAACATCAAATAAAACTTCCCATTACATTTTTATACCCGATACTCAAAATTAGTATTGGGGTATATTAGATTTGTGGTGAAAGTGGATGTGTGTAACGTCCAGAAGGAATCGTTTCCGACCCCATAAAGTATATATATTCTTGATCAGCATCAATAGCCGAGTCGATTGAGCCATGTCTGTCTGTCCGTCCGTCCGTAGTGCTCAAAGACTATAAGAGCTAGAGCAACGATTTTTTGGATCCAGACTTCTGTGATATGTCACTGCTACAAGAATATTTCAAAACTGTGCCCCGTCCACTTCCGCCCCCACAAAGGGCGAAAGTCTGTGGCATCCACAATTTCGACGATACGAAAAAACTAAAAACGCAGAATCGTAGAAGATGACTATATCTTCTAGAGTGCAAAATCTGAACCTGATCGTATAATTATTATAGCCAGAATCAAGAAAACAATTTCATTCTTTCTCGCTCTGTCTCTCTCTAACACACAGGTTTCATGGTCGGTGTTGCCAATTGCAAAATATGAGTTCAAGGATCTCAGAACCCATAAGAGCTAGAGCAACCAAATTTGGTATCCACACTCCTGTGATATCGGACCTTGACCGTTTTGTGTCAAAATTTCGCCACACCCCCTTCCGCCCCCGCAAAGGACGAAAATCTGAGGCAACCACAAATCTCAGAGACTATTAAGGCTAGAGTAACCAAATTTGGTACACACACTCCTTTAAGATGTCACTATAAAACGTATATCTCAGAATTTCGCCCCACCCCCATCCGCCCCCACAAAGGACGAAAATCTGTTGCATCCACAATATTGCAGATTTGAGAAAACTAAAAACGCAGAATCATAGATAATGACCATATCTATTAGATTGCTTAATCTGGATCAGATCAGATCATTTTTATAGCCAAAAGGAACAAATCAATTTGCAGTGGCTACGCAGCGCCCGACGTCACGCTCAGACTGATTTTCTGTCTCTCTCGCACCCACTCTTTGTCGTGTCGTTTAATATTAGCGGCGTCTGCCGGAAGAGGGCCATACTGACTTAGTATCGGGTATAACTGTAGAGTTGCGGTGTCCGCAGCAACTCACAACGTTCCCCCTCGTTTTAGTTTTAGGAAAGATGGCATGGATCTAGAAGAAGGATTTACAATCAGTAAATTTTCCGCCATTTACCTCAAATCGATCAACTGTTTAAATAGAGGGAGCCAAGTGGGCTAAGTTAGCACTTAGCACTTAGTCCGAGGTCACACTAATTCTCTTGCCCCCGTTGACCGATTTTGCTTAAACCGTATTTTGTAAGCAATGCAATACAGATGAAAACTGAAATTTAAACGGTCTTGTAGGAAATTGATGAAGTAATTGGATAATAATACGAGTATTCGACGAGTATATATCAGAAGTCAGACGTACATTTCGGTATATTTTTGTGGTATATATATATACATATATATATATACATTTATATACCGTATATTTGAGCGATAGGCCCGCGGTCACATTGCAGACGCGCGGCGCCAGGGTTTACGGTATTTTTAATACTTTTCGGTATTTTTTCGGTCAAAATTGAACCGACGGTATATTCACGGTATATCGGTATGTAATGGTATATTTTGTCAATTTAATCAATTTATTAAATTTTCTGTTTCCCTTTTGTTATTAGCGGCGTCTGCCGTTCAACTGTATATAGAAATCCAATATGGCACGGAATATCAAAAACGTGGAATATGTATAAAAGAGCTTGAACTCGTCAGTATATTCTTGGTATATTTTTAAAACTAAACGGTATATTTTGGTATATTTCTGAGGACCGGACGGTATATTTGAGCGATAAGTCCGCGGTCACACTGCAGACGCGCGTCGCATTGCCGCCATTTGAAAAAACGACTGGAGACTCGAGAAAAAAAGGACCAGTATCTGATCAATGTGGCTACAGTGCTACAATCAAAATCCGATCATCCTTGAGATGATTTAAAATCCAAAAAAATTTGTGTAGATTCTCATTTGTGCCAAATGGATGACATGTTGGATATAATGCAGCCGCTGTCGCGGATGAAGCTGGAATTGGAGGAAATCCGAAAGGTATTTTTTCGGCTGCAATGGACATAGAACACGGTGATCAATATAGCGGCGCGCTTGTTTTTTTTTGCAGGCTCACTTTAAAGAGCTGGAAGAACTATTCTACGGCGTCAAGACCAAAGATGCCAAGGCTGCGGACAATGGCCCGGCGCAGAGCGAAACCTCCGCGGTGACACCACAGCAGACCAAGAAGCGTCCCAAACGGCTGACCGCTCTGACTGAGAACACAGATGATTCCCAAGGTGAGTTGTGCTGTGGGCCAAAGGAGACCAAGACTCACCTTGCACTCTCCCCAGATGCCCCCGACGTCACGGCAGAGTCCTCGGGCCGCCAAAGTGCGCGGTTGAGCAACTCCCAGCTTTTGGCTATTGCCGAGGTGGAGAACCTGAACAGCACAGCCTCGTTAATGCCGCCGCCACCGGCACCGACTCTAGCCGACACCACCATAAGCTCGGGCCGGCCGCAGCGGGCTGCCAAATTGAAAACGGAAAAATTGCTCAAGGAGCCCTCTCTCATCCGAAAGATGCGTCGCCCCAGCGAAGAGGATTCGATCCGGGTGAAGGTGGAGAGCGAACAGCGCGTCTCGCAGGTCAACGGCAGGACGCACAACATAGCACCGAATCCCAAACCGTCAGTTGTGAAGGAGACACAGCCACAGGAGGCACCAACAAAACTACCAATAGAGCCCATCAAGAAGCCAGCCGAAGTCTTCGCCTCCAAGAATGTGTGCGTCAAAGTCAAGCGGGAGAAGTTTACCGGCGAAATGCCGCCGCCCCTACCGGCCACAGATACCACAGCCACAATTTTGGAGACGGATGCTACCAGGTCGGATGAGACTGCATTCAGCAATACTACAACGGCATCCGAGATGTCCAAGAAGGGGCGAAAGAAGAAGAAGGATGGCGCCTGCCATCGGCCCATCAAGGTGGAGCGGTTTAGTGAAATTGATAAAAACTCGCCCGTCTCCTCGCGGACTCGCAAAAACAGCACCGAGTCGCGCAACCAGGAGCGCTCCATCTACAAAGACGCCCTCGAGGGGCCGCGCATCGAAGAACAGCAGCAGCAGGCTTCTGCTGGCGACGCCACTAATGAAACGATGACCTTGTCCAACGCCACAATGGTGCTGGGTCCGGCTCCCACCGACGAAAGTCCCAACATTGCACCGGCCGACGCCACCTTCGAAGTTATTACTAGCAAGAAGGGGCCACCAAAGCCAGTGTCAGAGCCAAGGCGGGACAGTCTCCTGACAGAGGATGAGTCGCTGGACGACAGGGTACCAGTGCCGAAATTTCCCTCGAATGTGAAGACCATGAAGCTGCCCGGCCGCACCCATGACCTGTTTAAGTGAGTATGAGCAAAATCTGGAGACTATTTGAATTGGAGCATCAATACTTCCCTTTTGACCTGCCCACAGTCCGCTCTTGCAGAGTCCAGTGAAGATGCGCGTGGAGGCCTTCGAAAATGCGGCCATTGCCCAGAGCAACTTACGCTCCCAGCGAGCCAAGGATACGGTAAGAGTGCAGTGCTCTCCCTCGTTTGTTCGGGAATTGATGATTGATGATCCTTTTTCAGGGCACGAACACGAGCAACACGCCCAAGATTGGCAAGTTGCAGCCACCGACTTTGGGGCGCTTTTATACGCCCACTCAGACCTCAAGTCTATTGCCCGTGAGCTCGGCCCAGCCCAAGAAGGCCCCCATGAGTGCCTCGAAGGCAACGACGCTGCTGAAGACTGCCACCGGGACCAACCTGAAGTCCACCAGTTCTGCATCCACCAAGAGCCTGTTACGCGAGAACAGCGGCGAAGACTTCCGCAAGGGTCTGCACACCCTGGCCGAGGAGCGCAAGAAGCTGCGTGAGCAGAAGCATCAGCACGCCGCCCAGCAGCGAGAGGCAAAGGAGCGGGAGCGAGCCGAACGCATTGCCAAGCAGACCGCGGAACGCGCCAAGAAACAGGAGGAACGAAAGAAGCTGGAGGAGCGTAAGCGGCTGGAGCTTGAGGAGCTGAATCGTAAGATGCGCCAGCAGGAGGAGGCCGAGGCCCTCAGGAAAGCCAAGATCCGGGAGCTGGAGAATCAGAAGCTGGCACAGTTGACCGGGGCCAAGAAGAAGATGCTGCCACCGCAGCCGAAGACAAAATACACATGGGACATGCTGCACGAGGATGACTCCACCGATGACGAGGGCAAGGTCACCCACAAGCGTCCGCCAGCACCCACCTGGAGTCGCAGTAAGTTAGCGTTTTCTTTAGCCAGTGTCTAATCTAATCTGAAATTTTGTAACCCATTTTTAGGCCATGTACGCGGCGAAGCGATTGCCATGCAGAGCCACTGTCCCACCGATGTCATCGACAGCTTCTTCTCGGTGGCCCCCACCACTCCGGACCTGAAACTGATTTTCCCCAACATCGATCCCAGCCAGCTGAAGCGCAACTCCAGCGTGCTCTGGTCCACGCCCCCACGCTACTCGGAGCTCCCAAAATACTAGTTATACACAAACATACGTATATAAAATAATCCCCTGTTTTTTCTTACTGTTTTCTATGGAAATATAAATGAAGTTTAAATTAAATAAATTTATTTGCGAAAAGTAATGCAAGATACCGCTCGATACCACTTCCATTCCACTTGATTCCCTCTGACACTAATACCCAACTGCTTAAGAACTATTAAAGCCGCCGGCGTGCTCAATTAATGGTCTTCTTGGGGTCTTGCCAGGGGGCTTGATGTTTTGATGCCCCGAGGTGTTTCCATTAACAATGAAGGTGCTGTTGTTGTTTTTGCTTCTGCTGCTGCTGCTGTCGATTCGTGAAAAGTGTGGAAAGGCGCAGGTGAAAAAGAAAACAAGCAACACAGATACATTTTCACTGGTCATGGGGCATGGTTTTGTGGCATGATGAGCTGAACAGCGGCAACAATCTTCGATTGTACGAGTCAGTCTGATTGCCTTCATCTCGCGTTCGCGATTTTCCCGATTCCCGACTCCCCGCGATAGCGAAGATTTTACTCGCGACCATTCTCGTTTTCAATTGCTTTAGCTGGAAGCGAATCCGCAAATCGCAACCAAATCCCAAAGGATTTCCATTTTATTTCGTGCGTTTGCAATTTGCATGGTAATTGCTGATGATTGGAATGGGATCGGATCTGATCCGATCCACCTGGAAATGGCAATTTAGCCCCGCTAACAACCGTCCCTGGATTCCCTAACTAAGGACGTTCAGCGGAGTCTTAATCTGGATCCGGACTAATGGGTGTATATTCAATAAATTGCCACTTTCAATTGTTATTGTTTCCTTTCAGGCTGCGGCTGCCTCCGGCCAGTCGGAAACTCACCACGGATCCACCATCACCAGATGGTAATAAACATAATAAATAAGGACAACGTCGGCGACGTTTGGTTACCCTAACATAAGATAAAAACCGACATTTTATATTAGAGAGTAGCTGTTGTTTCTTATCCATTTAATTCATTTTTATTTTATTTTCCATCACTTGCAGACAAATAATTTCAATGACATCTCATATGCTGGACGATCTTTTAAATATCACGAAAATTAATCCAGTTCATATACAAACTTATATTTTTTTATTTTTCTTGGACGTTGACATGCAAGAGGCGATGCCCCTTTCAAGAGGCGATGCAGTTACTGCACCGCCAAGTGGCCCGTGTGACACCAGCAGAAATATGAAAACTATTATTTTTTCCAACCAAAACGGAACGCACACATTCATTAATCGAGTCTCCTACATGCGAAAATGAAAATGCACTGAACGACACCGGAAAGTGTGTATGCAGAAATGAAATTTGGGATGTTGGTTTTCCCCCTTTCTGAATACCTTGTTGGATGGATTCCTTTTTGTATACTGTTTCATTCAGGAGATATTCTTCTGGCATAATTTCTGCGCATTTAATTGAGCTCCCATTTGATTTTATAGAAGTTTGGGGTCACACATATCCATCGTTACGTGGACCAACATCGCCAACTCTCGGTACCAGCTTTATTTCTTACATTTTCCGTAGCAAACGTCATCTCAATTCGTGTATACTCTTTATAAGTGCCACCAATCCGCTCTTCACCGATCGTTCCTTTTGGTGTTTCGTTTCTTTGCCGTTCCCCGACTTGCGGCTCTTGGGGCTCACCTTAGTCAGTCTTTGGCGATCGAACGGTGCACACCTGCTAGCGGGGTTTTGGTAAGCAGCGTCGACGCTGACGGCGACGGTGAAGAGTGATCGTGATCTCGCGCGAGTGCGTGGAAGCGTAGAAAGAAACGAAGAAGCAACAAAACAAATTGAAGAAGCCCCTGCCGGGCATATACGTGTGCACATGTGTGTGCGTGCTTAATCTATGAAAAGTGAATAACTAAAACGAGCTCAAAGCAACAAAAGTGTGTGTGCGTGTAAGAGAGTGAGTAAAGTAAAAGAAAACAACAAAAATGAGTGTTTCTTGTATCTCTAGAAGAAACAGCCGCAAAAGGCAAATACATATGTAAACGTATAAGTGATATTTGCGTGTGGCTCTGTGTGTGTGTAGAAAAGCAAAAATATATACATATGTATATGTGTGTTGTATGTATGAAAGCAGCAACAAAAACATCAAAAACTTTCTTTTTTTCGCGCTACCTTTTGGCTGGTAACTTTGTTTTTGTGACTTGCGGCTTTTGTTTATTGCATTGTTGTTGCCTGCTGCTGTTGCCTGAGTGCCGCTGTGAAATTTTTTGCAAATTTTATAATTTGCCCAGTGTGTTGCACCTTTTCGCTGGCTAATTAACGGGCTGCCACGGCCACGGCCAGTCTCTGGAAAAATGTTGAAAAGAATGTGAATAAATTGAAATTAGTGGAAGGAAGGAAAACGATTTTAAATAACAATAAAAACAAAACTGCAGAAAATGGAGAGAGACGCTACGCCACTGCACTCCTAGCCGGATATGCTCCTCCGTGGTCAACCTGTCTGCCCACACACACAGGCATACAGGAACGCAAACACACACGGATACAGGCACACTTCTCTCCTTGTCTGTCTCGCCTGCAATGTGATCTGGCCTGTCCACTGCGCTAAATTGCCAAGAGCACTTGCCCCCCTGCCCCCCTGCCGCACTGCTCTATGATACTCCCCACTCAAGTGTCCCGTTCCAGCATTTAATACTGTTACTTGTGCCATTTTGCGTGCACTTGTGCCAATTTTGTATGCAACAGCAGTAGCAGTAGCAGTAGCAGCCTCTGCCTCTGCCTCTGCCCTCCCGCTGCTTGTCGCTTGATTTTTGCTTTTCGATAATTTAAAGCTAACATTCCTTCGAGCCGCAAAAACCGCATTTCTTGCAAACCCCATTACCCGCCTCGGCTTGGGGCTGGCTGGCTGGCTGGCTTTTGGAAATCTTCAATTTGTTGTGCCTTTTCGGTTTTTTTGCAGTTTTGTTTGGGTGAAATTCGTTCCGTTATTAACGTTGCTTGTGTGCAAAAACTAATTGAAAATATCGTGCAATAGGAAGAGAAATAGAAAAAATAGAAAAGGAAAACATAAATCGAAAAACATCAATCACAAAAAATCGCTTGATGGCAGCGTTTTGAGGTAAGTCTGAAATGGAAGAGAAAAATAAATGAAGAAATCTGTGGACTTACGAGGGAGGGTCTGACTCAGAAAAGTATTCTGTAATCAAATCTGAGATTCTTAAGTATCTGCGATGAATCTGCAGAGTTAGCGCCGATGCACTTAAATCGGACAGTCACAATCGTCCTATGCAACACTCTCTCGTGCTTCTTGCGGCGGCAGACTCCACTCCTCTCTCCACTCTCTCAAAAAAATGATGGTTATGCAACTGAAAGAGCACCAAAAAAGCTTTAATGTAATCCCATGAGTCATTTAACCCGAGAAGAAGATGGAAAAAAGCAAATGTAATTACCAACTTCAACTTCCGTTGGGCGTTGAAAGAGTCTCGAAAAGAAAGCAAATCTGGTAAAATACATACGGACTTCGGAAGAAGCAGAAGTTAAGCCGAAACAAGCGCCAGCGTGGGCGAATCATTCATTGGAAAAGCCAGAGGAGAAACAGCAGGAAAATGACGAAACGGAGTCATTTAATGACAGACGACGACCCGACAACTGACAACAGGCAACAGACACAACAATCCCAAAGCGACAACACGCCCACGAAGCAGCAAATTGTGTGCTTGTTGTTTACAAGAAAAACTTTCTATTTCATTCGCGCTTCTCCATGCGTACCATTGCCCATTGCCGTTTTCAAGGTTTAACGCGAAAATCCCTTTCGGTTCCGATCTCCCAGACTAAACAGATATTAAACAAGAAAGAAGAGCAAACTTCAGAGACCGAACATTGAGATACCCTTTACCAGGTGTGAAACTAGAGAGATATTGATTGAATTCTCCTGGATATAGAGACCGTCATGTACATACATACATGTATGTATGTAGTATGTATAGTTTGGTTGGTAAATCGTCTAAAACTTAAACTGAAAGCCAGAAAGAAAGATATCATTTGAACAGACAGAACGTATAGTTGGAATAAATAAATATTAAATAAATAACTACTTAAGATCTGCATAAATTCTTCCCTCTGTAGTCAGCAAACACATCTGCTAAAACAGAGTATACAATCTGTTAGAGAACAGTAAAAACAGAAAACTGCCAAAAAATCAACTGCGGGCATGACTCAACCCCCTGTTGCACATGTTACCGGCTGAATCCGGTCGTGTCCGGCTCTGAGATCACGTAGCAGAGCATAACAAAGCCAGCAACCTTTACCTTTACCTTTCCTTTCCTTTTCTTGCCTTTGCTTCAGCTCTGCTCTGTCTTTGCCCCCGACTGTTGCCGCTTCTCTCGATGCCCCGATGCCTCGATGCCTCGATGCTTTCACTTTCCATCTAATGCTCGGCAATTGCTTTTGCGGTTTGCGAGGCCTGATCTTGTTTTGGCTTCTGATTAGCAGAGACTCGAGACATATTTGGTAATCGTTCGGTAAGGCCGCAGGATCGATTAGAGATCATAGCATCGTAATGGCTTTGGAGATCTACATATGCGAGTGGTCTGGAATTTCACTTTTGCTTTCTGACACCTTAAATTGTGCCCCAAGCTTTCGCTGCAAACCAATTTCTGTGCGCGCAGACTCTGGACATCAATCAAAATTAGCATCTCAATCAGTTGAGAGTGCAGTTAGTTTTTTGAATGGAGCCTTAAACTCGAGACTTTATGCAATCTTCGGAAAGCTGTTTCTGAAAGTATTTCTTTTCCATTGAGCCCTGGAGATACGACACCAAACAGAAAAAAAGTTGAAAAACGGATTTACATAAGACAGGGGCAAGGGCCAAAGCAATTGTAGAGCACTCGGGGGCTTATGATGGTCTCTATGGCCTGTGGCTGGCTGATGTAATACCTGCCACTTTTAATGGCTTTTAATGGTATTCCCCATCGGATTTCGTGGCATAAACAAAAGACTCAAGACACAAACTCTAGAATACATTTTGATTAGTTTTCTAACCAGTTTTTTCTACTTTTTTGCAGCATAAATCTACGTGAGGAAAGCAGAAAGATGCCACCACTAAGTTCAATTCAACAATAAATACAAACTCTAAAATACACAAAA